GCCATCTTGTGCACGGTCTCCCAGTACTCGAAATCGGGCTCCGAGTCATAGACGATGCCTCCGCCGGCTGTGTGAGGGGAAGGAACACAACAGAACCGCGGATCAGAAAGCTAGGCCTCCCGAAAGAAAGAAGTGTGCGCGAGGCGGTGCGCGCGGCGGGGCAACCTTGGAGATAGGCGGTGTTGTCCTTGATGGTCATCGTCCGAATGGCGATACAGGTGTTGATGTCGCCCGTGAAGGCGAAGTAGCCCACAGCGCCCGCGTACACGTTTCGCCGTTCCTGGTTAAAACCACGCACACAACACGACACACACGCACACGACAGACGCGATGACACGTCAGCACCAAATCATCGATGATTGTCGAAATAAGCCGCACCTTCTCGAGGGTGGCGATCCACTCCATGGCCTTGACCTTGGGCGCGCCGGAGACGGTGCCGGCGGGGAAGATCGAGCGGAAGGCGTCGAAGGGCGAACACTCGTCGCGCAGCTTGCCCGACACGTGCGACACGATGTGCATCACGTGCGAGTACTTCTCGACGATCATCAGCGCGTCCAGATTGGTCGACGTGGGCACGCACACGCGATTGATGTCGTTCCGTCCCAGGTCCACCAACATGATGTGCTCGGCGCGCTCCTTGATATCACCTGCATATCATTTTACAAATGATAAATAAGTTTTAAAATTAATTGTATACTGATATGTGTGTGGTACCGAGCAATTCGGTCATCAGGGCGTCGTCCTCCTCGGGCGTCTTTCCTCGGCGCCGAGTGCCGGCGATGGGGTGGGTAGTGACCTCGCGATTGTAGACCTGCACCAGCATCTCGGGCGACGAACCAACTGCGCAGAACAAATAATTAAAAAAGGATATAAAGCAATAACAAACATACAAATAAATTGATAAATATAAATAAGAATATATTGATTTTATAGATAAATTATGCGATTCATTTGTGTTGTTGGTACCGAGTTGGAAGTCGTCGCAGTCGACGTAGAAGGTGTAGCGCGACGGGTTGAGTTTGCGCAGCTGCTGGTAGACGTTGAACGGGTGCACGCCGATCTTGCGCGCGATGCGCTGCGAGGGCACCACCTGGATGAAGTCGCCGTCGATGATCCGCTCGCGCAGCTTGCGCACCATTCCCTCGTAGCCCTCCTTGCCCACATTCGACACA